AAAATTTCAACTCATTGCAAATTTTTTCTGTTTCTTCCTTTTTTGGTATTTTTTTTTGTTTTTTCGTTTTTATCTACCATCCTAATTAGATCATTCTTAGTTTTTCTTTCCTTCTTTTGTATTAGTTTATTTTGTATCCTCAAGAAGTTTCAAAGGTATTAAGGCGAAGATATAAAAGAAAAAATATATTCGATTGTATTTCTGTTTTATATACTCTAAGCTAGGTTATAGGACTCGTGTACAATAAAATGTTGTAAGTTATTTAGACCGACAAATGCGTTTTTCGAGATTGATGTTGTATGCTTCTTCCACCATTTTTCCCAAAAAATGAAATGGAATATACTAAATACAAAAAAAAATTGTTTTTATTTCGTTTTTTTGTCTTGTGGTTACCGTATAATTACATATACCTTGTACAGGATGTTTAACAAAAATGTTATATGGTTTTTAATTTTGAAATATGCGTCTTATTAGCAACAGTATTTTTTTAACATTATCAGTAACAAAATGAATTTTCTTATAGCTAGAATATAGCTTTGTTGACTGATCAATTAATATCTACGCCTTTAACTGAATTTATAGAACATAGAAGCAACGTTTAATCAATAGTTTCTTTAAATTAAATTAAAGTTTATTCTGCTAACAAGGTAACTTAAATGTAAAATCAACATCAAAAATTCGAATTGAAAAGAATTGCCGTCCTTAGCACAACGCAATGTAAACGCAAACATTTGTATTCAAAATTTGGAAAGCTATGCACAAATCTTGTCAAAATTAAAAAAAAGTCAATGTAAATATTCAATAGAAATGTAAAGGCACAAAATTTTGTTTTACAGCTATTACGTTAGCAATATTACACAAAAAGTAAAACAGTTAAAAAACACGAAAATGAGTAGTGATAAAGAAAAATAAAAATAAAAATAAAATAAAAACGAGTAACGCTTGAAATGAGATGATCCATTTGAAAATCCTCGAAGATTAATGACTCCTACAGTATGAGTATATTGTACTAGTCTTTTATATTATGTATTTTTTGTTATTATACTGCCATTATACGAATGTATAGAAACTGTATCTGATGCCATTAGTTGTTTTTTTTTTGTATTCGTGCCTTCGTGAGGGTTGTGTGTATTGGAATACATTTTTTTTCGGATTAAGAAGAAAAAAAAGTCTGATGTGGTCAACACATAAACGACCGGAGTGTATGTTGTCTTGGTTAGTAAAAGTATTCCAAAAGATTATGAAAATGCGTTTCAAACACTTCTTTACAATTTTAAGAACACTAATAAGCTTTTAGTTAACATACCTAGAAAAATGTGAATTTGACTCTTAGTAGAGTTCCATTTTGTGCCGTCCGAATTACAGGAAAAGTTCGTCACTTGAAAAGTAATATTTGACTTCTGGTGAAATATTAAATTTCAAGAAATTCCATCAATTCGTTCCGTAGATATGGTAAAAAATTTAAAATCGGTCAAAAATGCAAAACAGGCCTGTTAAAAAGTCCCGTTCCCGAGGCCTGACATATTCCAAAAATTTATCAGAACACACAGACCGACAGGTTGCTAAAAACAGTTAATTTACACTTTCCTAATATGGAGAAGCGCGTTCCCACCGAAAACTCGACATCCAAAATTTGGTGCCATCACATCACCTGCCATATTGTATAGACAGTGCGGTCGGCAAAAATAGAAAAAAAGAAAAAAGTAAACAAAAAAAATCTTGAAAATTATTTCAAAGGAAGAGCGGGTATTAAGCTTCTAATTTTATATACGGTTTATAATATGTACTTGTATTTTATTCGAAAACGAAGATTAAAATGAAAACTATAACATATTAAAATAGCTTTTGAAATAAATTTTTTTTCTATAAATGCTTTTATTACATAAACTGACGGCCGAATTAAATTTTTGCTATATTTGCAAAACCTGAAAAGTTGTAATTGCAATAATTCATCTTTTCCTTTTAATTTAACTCCTATAATATATCAAGAATTTCTTTTTTACCTTAACACGTTTTTTTATCAGGATGCAAATATTGGCAGTGAGTTCTCTGTTGCTTCGAACAATTGTTTTCAGATTCATTAAGTGTTCTCTTTTTCGGACTCAATATTATACTGTGGGTATTCAATATAAAATTTATAATTGAAGAGTAATATTATAATTAGGCGATTTCAAAAGAGTATTTTTTGTTTCGACTTATGTATCTTTTGCGCAACATCTTAACATATTGCAATCATAGATTTTAATAACTTAACCCTTCGTTATGATGAAGGTAACTTTTCAATTTTTCCCTGAACAGTCTGTATTAATCATTCTTTTCTATGTTGATGGCAGGCATAGTTTTCCCTGTGTCTACAAGACTATTAATGTTTAATACTTTTCAGTTTTTTTGTTATTACTTGCAGTTATTTGCTAAAGCCTTGACGTTTCAATTATGTGATAAGAGCTTGGCTTCAAATTTAACTTTGCTTAAAGCTTTCAACACGTTTACCAACATAATATAACCGATAAATGAAAAACATCCTACAGTTTCTTGGAAACAATTCGTGTTTATTTGTTGTTTCTTTTGTTTTCCATTATTTTGATGTTTTGTCCTTACGGTTTTTTATGATTTTCTTTTCTTACTTTATAAAAGTGCAAAAGGTGAACTACGGAGGATTTTATTTTGTCTTGTATTGCCTAGAATACCTACATTATTTTTCTAAGGTTTCTTTCCGTTTTCTTCCTTCTATGTTTGTTTTTGCATTTTTATTTTTTGATTTTTTTATTATAAATGGAAAGAAAAGTAAAAAATAACATCAAATTTCATGTTCTTAAAAGTTGGTGTATGGTGTGTGTATGTACATTGCATATGATCTTTTTTGTGGTCTTCGTTGAATGGTAGCGAAATTTTTTTTTTATTGCTATCTACATTGTAGCATGCTATAAGAATAACAATTTTACTACGGAGTAAAAATTTCTTAACCATTTAATAAAATTTAATCTTTAAGCTATACATATATATTTCCTTTTTTTATTATTTTTTTAAGAATTTTATCTTTTGAGCTTCGAAATTTCTATAAAAAATGTGTAAGTAAAACGTACATAGGTGTATTTGTATTGGAAAAAATTATTGGTTTTTGCGTCCACTTCTATTTGTATTACATTTTGTATATCTTTAGAAACATCTTCTTATATTTAAGTTTAATTTACCTGTGAGCCCCTTAGAATACACAGAGAAAATTTGTAATAAATTTCGATACACTTTTATGTGTAAACACTTTTCATATAAAATGATTATATTGCTATAGTATCTTCTTGCAAAATAGTCGTTAGCACAAACGTACGTATGTAAATAATTTATACACTAGTATAATAGAAATAGAAAATCGCTTTGGGAATTAGAAATATCGTTTTGAAAATTATCAGATAAAATTTGTTCAAAGGAGCATACCTTAGCGTTTTCCGAAAATGTAACAAGTATAAATATGTGATTCAATGTATATACACATAATATATAAGTATATACATATGTGTAAATATGTACGTAAATATAAAAAAAATTACATATGAACACTGAATCATAAAAATTAGATACAAATAAAAACACAATGATATTCAAAAAGGACATACTAAACAGATTTGTACAAACATAGTTCGTATTTAATGCTAGACACAGGGATAGATTATTTTTGCTGATTTTAATGTTTTTCATCATAAAAGTAAGAACAGGAATAAAAATAATAAATCTTTCTCTTTTTTCTAAAAAGCAACAAAATAACAAAAAATTCTATGGTAAGCAATTTAGGCCTACTTTTGTATTTTATTTTTTATTTTCTGTTTTTTTTACACTGTAAGATTTTTGAAAGTAAATCGAAATTTGATTTGATAAGAAATAAATTGAAATTTTATTGAGCAGAGGATATTTGTAAAAGGGCATTAATTCTATAAATTTTTTATTAGTTTGTTTTTTCTTATTCAATTTTTTTCTTTATACATATTTGCTTTGAAAACGGCAAGGTAAAAAACTTAAGCACGAACATAAAAGATAATTTAAGAAGGATTTTTTTTTTCTGTGTATGTTGCATTGTAAATCAAATGTTATAACTTGGTAAGCAATTTTCTAAATTTGTAGAGTTAGACTATAGTTTTACAAAATATCACTAATTTATGCTAAGGTCTAAACTGTAAATAATTGCTTCCACAGTTTTTTAATAACACATAAGCTATCTGCACTTAGTACAGTAAACTAGAATTAAGGATACAAATAGTGTTATTAAGGTTGATAAAGTTTCAATTTTGAATAACGAATATAGAAATTATTATTTCACTTCTGTTAGATTTTTATAATACTTTTATCGAGATTTGTAAATATGACTACTTGATAAAAGTGTTAAATAAGTCATTGCAAGATATTTCAAAGTGAAAACTGAACTCTTATTAAGATTTCATTGCTTATTAAGGGACCTGAGAATTTTTTGTAACGCGTTTTCTACATTTGCTCTTACGAAGAACTCTAAACTTTTGTATGTAACTATATGAACTTTAAAAAAAAATTTTTATTGTTATTACACACATAATTTGCTATAACAATTTGAATTTTGTTGTTTTTTCCAATTAGCTAGTTTTGTTTTGAAAATGAATGTTATTATGTTATTTGCTTGCATTTATTTTAATTTCTCTGTTATATAGCATGAGTGTTAAAAACACAATAAGCCATACAGATAAAAAAACATAATTAACAATAAACACAAAGCAAAAACATCTTTATAAAATTAGAAAAAAAAAAAAAGAAAATAAAATTTCCACTCAATTTAAATTTAAAATAATTTTCATATTTCCTTAATATTCATTTAATTTGAAAGGCAAGCATCATTTTTTATTATAACATTTTTAGATCATTATAACATTAAAATACTTGCGGTTCGTCCATAATTTTTAAATTATTTAGATCTTTATCAATTTGTAACGGATTCTACAATCACTAATATAAAGTCGTATGATTTTGATTTTGGTTTAAAGGCAAATCAACTATCGGATATATTATGCCGTGGTGCGGTGGTATCATCAATTCAATCAGCTAATAATACATTGACACGTGGAGCATCATTACGTAGTGGTGGTGGATCTTCTGGTGGTGGTGGTAGTGGTGGATCTATTGGTAGTAGTTTACCACCTCCACCTTTACCATTAGGTATGCAAACAGGTAGCGGTAGTCAAGGAATATTAGCAAGCTCACTAGATACAGGTGATTATGATGTACCGCATCCACATCCTTATACTCATCATTATATGCAAACAACATCAGTAACTCCACCTCATTCGGCGATGAGTCTTGTTAGTTCCCGACCTGGTTCAGCTGGAGGATCTGGACATGGTTCAGCTTCAGGATCAGGTTCAAGTCCTGGTTGTAGTGTAATTGCCAGTAATGCTATGATTGGTCAAATGAGTGCTGGTAGTGTTGGAAGTATTGGCCGATGTGCAAGTCGTTGTACAAATAATGATGATGGCGGAGGTGGCGGTGGTGGTAGTGTTGGCGGTGGTGGTGGTTCTAGCGGTAGTCATCATAGTCATAGTGGACGTAATAGTGTAATGGCGCGTAGTGAATGCAGTGATATGCATGATGATGGCTTAAGTGGTATGGGCATTGGTGGTAGTGGTAGCGGTGGTGGTGGTGGTAGCACAAGTACTATTGGTGGTATTGGGCATTCACATGGACGTGTTGGTGGTATTAGGCATTATCATCATGAATGTATTCATTATGAAAGATTACCTATTCCTGTGCCAATACCAACGGTACCGCCTCCACCACCCCCGCATCAGTTACAATCAGAAGAAGAAATTGAACCAGCTTATGCTACAGGTACAGTGTTATTTATATATATGAAAGTTTATATATAATACGTTATATATTTTTACAATAAATTGTATTTACTAAAGCTAAAATTCGTATCTGCAAAAATACGAATGCTTTTTTAAATGCTATATATATTTCAAATTTTTTTCATAACAGTTCAGGTAAAAGCAATTTAACTGGACCAATGAGAAAATACAAAAAAAGTTTATGTAAAAATTAATTCCAAAAGAAAAAAAATGAAAAATGTAAATATTGCATATATTTCGGGGCTGTAAAATCAAAGCTTAAAATTTAAGTTTTTCATTTCTTGCAAAATGAAAAACTTAAATTTGTAAATTTTCAATACATCTTTCTTCAAAGACAGTTTCTAAAATTTAATAAAAAAATAAAGATTCCTTTTATTTGATTTCTTGGTAGTTAAAAACTGAGACAACTTGGTAGTTGAACTGAGGTATACTTTCATATGCCTAAACTAATCCTGCCTAAACTCAGTTGATTACTCTGTGACCAGAAGTATCTATTTTTTTCGAATGTAAAAACCGAGAAGTGATATTTCTTAAGATAAATAAAATTCGTTTTCTTTTAAATAAATTTCATGCACTAGAAGAGCAGAGTATGGTCTAAGAATACACCCTTAAACGGATATTTCGATTTTATTTAATTAGTTTTTATATAGGACTAATTAAAAATGAAAATTTAGTACTAGAAATTAATAACAAAATTAGTAACAAATTCCACATGATTTTCTATACTTTTATTCTAGTAATTTTAATAAAAGTAATGCATTTTATATTAGAAATTTATGATTTCTTAAGAAAGCAAAAAATATTAATCATAATAAATTATTTTAAATTACATAAAATTAAAAGTTTTGAACACACGCATCGAATAAGTTAATGTGAAATTTCACTGGTTCAATATTATATGAAGTTTCGAAAATATTCTTAATTAGCAAGAATCAGGAAATCAAAGGAACAAAGTATTAAATATTAACTAATATTTTTGCTTTTATAAATAAAGTTTCCTATACTCTTCCATTTTCTAAAAACTTGTTCAATATTTTTATTAAAGTTTTCCTTCAAAGTTTTCATAATAATAATAATTCTCTAATTGAATTCATAATCATTACCATTATCAGCACAATCATCATCAGCATTAATGTCCTTGTAATAATAAAAATAAGGAAAACAAAAATAAATATTGCTTTCTGATTCGTATAAAATTTTATATAGATCTAAAATTGGATCTAAAAATATACCTTAAAGAAAATTATAAATTAATATCTTAGAAATTGTTGTTTGACATTAATTCTTATTTTATTACATTAATATTTGAGCAAAGAATGATTTCTGATTTATAAACAAAATAAAGTTAAATATTTATATATACATACAATATCAGATATAAAATACATAAATTACTGAGCTGTTAAGAAAATAATAAAATAAAAAGTTGAAACAATAAGGACTTTTAATACTAATATAAAATAAAGACCAATTTAATGTAATGTAATTTCTCATTTTCCAATTTTTCTTAAAATTATCAACTTTATGGGAACTTGTTCCTCTTTTGAATGAAAATAATTTTTAAATATGTTTTGAGTAATTTTTAAATATGTTATACGTTGTGCTATTAAAATTGTATATTAGAAAAAAATTAAAACTTATCTTTTTGGTTCGTAGTTTCGATTAATGTCACACATCGAACAACCAAGGCAAGGATTGAGAAGGGTATTTTACAATTATTGCAGTTTGCTGCATAAAAATGATAAAAATGAATCGGTTTGATTATGCAATCAGCGCTAAGACAGAAAAAATGAAGCTTCATTTTAGTTGCAAAAAACTATTTTCAGTATCTAGGCAAAAATTAATTTAAACTAAGTGAAGTGAAACATTAAGTTTTATGATAATAAGGATGATAGAGAAGAGAATACTATATAGAATTATAAACTGATATAAAAAATACCCAAAACTCATAAAAGACGCGAATTCAATATTTGATTTACTACTTTATCTAGCCCCTAAATTTCTAAACCCTTAAGAAAAGTTTGTATTTTTTCCAATATTTCATAGATAATCAAAAAAACTCACATGGCCTCTTGAATTCACACATCCTTATCACTATCTCACATGAATTTCTTTTTAAATCCTATAAAACAGTGAAGCAAGATTCAAAAATATGTATAATAATCGTATTTAATAACACTACAAAATTTGAATTTTTTAATACCTACTTGACGGCCTGCTAGTCTATCGTTCCTTGCTAGAAAACTAGCCTGTTAGTTTTCTGAATGGGCTTAATCATGACTAACTTTTAGACAATTTTAAATACTTCTTAGAATTATTTTTGTTAATATTAGAATGTGGTTTGTGTTGTTCATTTTTCAACTGGTTTTGCTTAATTAAAAAATATTTCATTAAAATGAATATCCAAACTACTTTTGAGCCTCTTATACTGAAATAAAAACGAAGAATCCGCAATGTCAGTTTTTGATCACCACTATTAAGTCAGAAAAAATATTTTTATATTTCAATAAAGATATGACTTATATCACCAACATTCAGATGAAAAAATTACCATTACATTCTTTTGTATCAACCCAAATAAAATTGTATGTTTTTTGTTTTTTTTATTTTATATTATTTTTTATGATTAACCTCGCTTTAAAATAACAAATTTTCAGAGAATTTTCCATTTAAATCCAAACATTCAACTGAAAATAATCTCTATGCACGCCTTACTCAAAAGCTAAATATGCAATTATTTTTTCTATTCATCACAGAACATCATGACTGTGACAGATTAGAAAATTATGTTCATATATATGTATGTACTTGTAATATTGTATATATTTTCATAATTGCAATATAAAGTGATAGTCTACATATTTCAATTCCCTGTTTCTATTACTTGTCATCATATTATTCGTCATTATAATGCTAGAATGTAAATTTAATATTAATAAGTAAATAGAAAATGAGAAAGGACATCTACACTAAATGATATTTGCATATGATAAATATTTAATAAAGTTGCAATTATATTATTTTATATTGTAACTTATGGTGTCAGCATATTAAAACCATTGATTTGGTTTCTATTTAGGTTAGTTTGCGATTCATTTTACTGAGTTCAACTAGGTAATAATAGAATTTTTATATAAAGTGAAAATAGAAGAAATAATGTTGTGATCATGAGTAACTTTAATTTATAAATTAATTTAAACGATAATTTGAACTTAAAATTTTTAAGAAGTGAAGTCAATTTGTTTTTATATTTTTTGTGATTGAACTCAGTTATTTAAGAATTTAATAAATACAATAAGATCTGGCTTTGCGGCGTTTCTTTTTCCGACATTTCTACGTCTACACATCCAACAACATCATCCGATACAGAGTCCCCAATAACGCTAGATTCTGATTCTTCGTAAATATTAAAAATTCTAGCTTCTTAACAGTATTGAAGTATACCTTTTTCCAATTTCAGTGAATTTTTGGGTTTTTAAATTCGTGAAGGGTATATTAACTTTGGTATGGAGTTTGTAACCACTTGAAGGAGTCGTCTGCGTTATAGACACGTATATATATTCTTGCTAAACGCAAAATTCTGCGTTGATTTAGACATATTCGTCCGTCCAATCGCACGATATTTTAAAAACAAATAATGAAATCAACAATAAAATTGCACAAGTTGTTTCTTTTGTAAGAAAACATTCATATTTTGAAATTAATATCTACTTTTAAGAGATGTCGAAGGATTGTGGTGAAAAATTGCAATTTAAATTGGTTGCATTTTATATATTTTTTTTTGTGATTTAACATTTAAAATTTATTCTATATTAATTAAAGTAAAATTTAATTTTAAACCCATTAATTGTGGAGTTTCTGGATCTGTACATTAACTAAGGTTTGAATAAACCGTTGCTCTTATGATAAAATTGTTATTTAGTTTTACACTAAAAATCAAATCTTGTTTACTTACTTTTACGTTAGTTGTTTTTTTTGTTAAGTTTTCATTTTGCGTTTTTAATATATTAATTTTTGTACTACTTTCAGGTAAGTGAACCTTTTCATATCCATTTGATTGCCACATATCGATAGTAAGTATAATTTTTTAATATTGTTAATTTTGTTTACGGGACAAAATAGTTTCCTACTTAAATACTACTAGATTTTTAAATTTTCATAGTAAAATTTGCGAATGAATTACTGTTGAATAGTAAAAATTATCTTTGAAACCGGGAAAATAATGCGAATCTCAAATGTTCGAAAATGATCAATTATCTATTTATATTCCAATATCAGCTTGCATGTCTGTCTGTCGATGCACATCGAATATTGTGTGTTTGTATAACAGTTAAATGTTTCTTTCTTATAAAAGTATTTAATAAGAACGCTTAATTTAATAATAAATATAAACATAATCTGTATTTAAAAAAATTTCATTTAATGTGATCAACATTTATAAAAAAATATTAACACAATTGCATATTCAAACTCTTTCTGCAGAAAAATTTTAATTAAATTGCTCTTAGCTCAACTAGAAACGCTAAGATACAAGGATAATTCTTTTTTTTTATTTATCGATAACATTAATTATTTTTTATATAACAGTTTTCTACATTCATTTTCATTACCTTTATTTTACTTTCAATAATTTACTTAAAATAATTCGCATTCTTCATTCCCTAAGACAAGAATTCTAAAAATTTATAAATTTTTTTTATTAATTTTTTGTATATTTTTTCGACGATAACAATTTTGTTTTCACTTAATTAAGAAGCTCTTTAAATAATTAAAGTACCCCAAATTAAATTAAATTTTTGTTTTTCGTTCTCTTATCTATGTACAAAATCTTTATAGAAAAGATCTACCACAAGATATAAATATAGTTAATTTTAAATGAATTATGGTAGAAAAAAATAAGAAAAAGCGTATACAAAATTTTGTATAATAGTGAAAAATTTGTGTTTTTACATTTTTTTTTTTATTTCCTTCTTAACGATGTTGTCCCCATGATCCCAAAGAGATTTTTAAAATCCCAATAACGTTCAAGTGGCTCAATTAAATGAAAAAAACAAAAAAAAATTGAAAAAATATAAAATACACACAAAATTTTGGTTGTCTTATGATTTATTGTTTTTAATGTAATCTTGTTTTTTGCCGACTGCATTGCATACAACAAGGGAAGTTTTGTTATGTCACATTTCGGATATTTTGGTAGAAACGCATTTCTCTATGGTAGAGAAACGTTAGTTGAACTTTGTTTAGCGAAAAATCGATCTGTCATTGTATTGGGCTTTGTAGGAACGCGTGTATATCAAGTTTGAATGAAACGATTTTGATGAAATTTGATATAATAACGGCCCGGATTTTACATTTTCTTGAATATTTGTAAAAGAATATTCAAAAGGCTTTTTTTTAAAATTTTATATACTAGCTAGCTTCGTCTGACAGAACTAGAAACTTTGTAACTTATTGGAATAAATTGGGCATCAATAACAGACCTTTTACATTGAAGCAAATTCACTTTTTTGCACATATAAAGAGTTTATTATTTTGTCACCGAGAAAAACAGACGAACTTTTCAAGGAATTTGTATGACATGAGACGAATCTTCTGTAAGAACCAAATTTACATTTTTCAAGATATTTTAATTAAAAGCTTTCTAGCGACCTTAAAATTTGTGAAAATTTGGCAATATGAGAGCTGACAAATTGAACAAGGTGTCAAATGCGTAAAAGGCATTTCCATAATCTTGTGCAACTTTTTCGTTGAAGTAAACCTTGCGGTCGCTTATATGTTGACCACTTCAGATATTTTTGTTTTGTTTAATTTTAGCGAAATATAATTTACGAGATATTAAAAAATAAGCTGTATAAAATTTTATTTTTGAAGATTTAAAAAAGAAACTGAAAGATAAAAAGTATTTTTATAATGGAGAAAAAAATTATTAACAAAAATATTTAACAAAAAATGTGTATACATTTATTTGGTACTTTTTGTTGAATAGCAACAAATTCCTATATGATATTGCGATGAATACAGGCCATCATTTCTAGAAACCTGTACATATTTCCAGACTGATTTGTTCCACTCTTCTGTACCATATATTTGTTTAAAATCTTTGTAATGTTGTAATTGCATAGAAAATTGCGATTTCTGTTTTACCCAAAAAATTTGTTAAAAAAAACTAACAGACGTTATCCAAAACGTTTTTCGATTTGAGAGCACGGTAGATACTTGGATCTACATGAATTATTATAAAATTAATTTGAAAATGTTTTCGGTCGGAAGTGATTTTTCTTGTAAACTATACGAATGTTCAAGACGTTTAAAATTGATAGCAATCTTTATTATAATAAAGTTTTTAAATATTTTTTAATCAAAATTTAATGAAATATCGGTTAAATCTAATTGTTGTTCTAATGAACTTATTTAAACTAAATAATTGTACAAATTTATTTTAATTAATTAGTCGAATGAAAATTATTCAATTAAAATTTTCTCCTAAATATATGCAACAGGATTCAGTTTTTGTTTCAGTTTTTGACCAAAGAAACATGTTTCTTTTATTAACTATGTTTTTAACTTTAAATAGGACTTTTAAGTGAATTTCATTTGCCTCGAAGGCTTATTTTGGTTCAAGTAATCATTTTAATAGATTAAAGTGGATTTAAGTTTTGGTCAAAAAATTAGCAGACATTTCTCATAAAATATTTTATAAAACATTTCTCAAATTTGAAGTGAATTTTTCATTTTACTCTTTTCATTAGGTAAGTGTGACAGAAACACTATAATGTTCAAATATTAATAATAAATTAAATTTTTAAATATTTGAAAATTCAATATGTATTAAATTTATGAGACCCTATAGCTGTACAAATTTAAAAGTGTCCATGTTATTATTGTAAAGCTTCTCGCTGTTCAAATTTAATTATATGTTATGTACCCCAGATAACAGTTTTTTCGTTATTTTTAATTTAGTTTTTATATTTTCAATTATAATAATTATTGCTTTTCCTGTTATTGAAAATTACCTAGTAGATGGTTACACCTTCAAGGGAAAATCTCAACACAAAAACAAAAATAAGAAATGAAAATTCTCTTTTTACGATTTTATTCCCTCCCAATTCCTTATTTCGTTTTATTGTTAAATATAGGAATAAAATTATTATATAAAATATGAAATAAAATTGTTGGTATTTTGCTTTTCCATTTGAAATAATGAAAATAAACAGCAGGACATATTTTCATTGTATATAGAGAACAGTTTTAAGGTAATATAAATAACAGCTTTAGTGTGCCAGTTTGGAAAAAATTACTGTGCTAAATGAACAATGAACGCACATCATGTAGTTTTAATGATTAATATATTTTTAGTGTTTGTATAATATTTTTTCTTTATTTCTTTTAATGTAAATGTGTGCAAAGTCCATATTCAGGAGTGTGTTTAACTTATAAAAATTTGTTTCTCCCTTATATGTTTAGTAAAGCAAAGAACATATGGGTTTTTTGAATATTAGAACACACTAATAATTTCTTACTATAATATTTTGACATTTACCCACATATGTTGAAATTTTCACTTTTGTGAGTGAATTTTTGTACAAAATTGTATGGGCCACATGCAAATAAAAATTGCATATCTACTTCTTTACTATAACAATAAGAAACAAAAAACGCCGATTAAGTGGCCTTGTTCAATTATGAATTTTGTGTTAATTGAAATAAAATAAACTTTAATAAAAACTTACCTTTAAAATGAATTTCATAGATTTTCATTTAAAAAGTGAAATAAGAATCGCAAAAAAATTTCTTGAAACCTTTGAATACAGGTTTTTTCTATATGCATGTCTAGTTTATGTAAATATTTATATATAAATTGAAAGACCAAATCTTGACTCCAATTAAGTAAATAACATTTTGTTTTTATTACCGTCTGGTTTTCACAAGGATATTTGAGAAAGGACAATTAAAAATACAAATAAAAGCATTGAAATATTATTCAAGTTTAGACCAGATTAAGATAATTTAAAAATGTCGTATGTATATCTATTTTTACTTATATATGTAAGTGGAGAGAGTGAAATAAACACGATTTTATAAAACTAAAATTTTTGCAAAATCAATTTTCCAAATTGAAATTTAAATTCAACTGACTGGGTGTGAAGCTGAATGGATATTAGTTTTAATTCATGCATTTATTGCAAGAGTTACGAGTTACTCTTAAATTAAGAATGTAAAAACCTTACAATGTTCTCACTCATTTTTAAATTGATTAACATATACCAGTTATAAAATAATCGAGATAAAAAGCTGTTACTGTTACTCATCAGTGACTCTCGTTTCTATAAAATATTACAGTTGAATAAATCTTAGACATATTCCTTTTAATAAATTACATATTTTACTTTTATTTTTTAATCCAATTTGCTCTTATTTGTCAAGTATTGTCTTTCGGTTGAGGAAAGCCAAATTGAGACGAGCCTTCTGGCTTTTTTATAAACATTTAATTTCCAAATTGAAATGTTTTCAAAGAATTTTCCAATGAAAAACTAAAATTCATCTCCTAAAATAGCGGCTTCTTGTGGCTTTTTTAATATTAATCCATGTAGCACAAATAATTATTTCAAGTTATTCCTTTATGGTCAAATTAATTTGCCTTATTTATTTACTTTAGTCTTATTTCAAATTGACTTATACAAGTACTTTAATTGAATTGGAAAATTAATTTCGAATATTTTTTTTAATAATTCAATTGAAATTTTTGTTATTTTTGTTTACTGTTATTTCAATTTGTTCTTGTATCAGATAACGAGAACGAAATAAATTTTATTTTCCTGGGAGTAGGCAATTATCTCTATAGATTTTTATAAGTAATATAGTCCATATTAGTATTGTAATGCCCCCTTTGATATAAAATTTCTAGATTTAATTGTATTTCTGTATCTGTAACATTAATTGGTATTGAAAATATGAAAAAAAGGATAATAATAAAGTATCTAACAATATTTTACATCATCCAATTACACTGATTGTGATTGTAATAATGGAAACATCAAAAATATGGAGTATT